ATATATATATATATAGTTGCCACCAATGAAAATTTAAAATCACAGATATCTGTCCTAAAAACTCTGATTAGCATTAAGTCAATCAAAACAGAATGCAACAATAAGCTTGAAAAACTTTAGAAAACTGAAAGAACATGTTTCATTAAAGGACCACTGAGTATACTAAACAATGTGATACAACTCAATCAATGTGGGGTTTTTAAAATAAAAATGTACAAGTCCTGGTTTTAAATTCAAAAAACGTTGAGAGGAAAATAAAGGTAGCTGAGTGACCACCAGTGCAGCTTTCATGCCAGAAACTCTCAATTCCTAAAAATGAAATATTCACCACAAACCTCATTTAAAAGACAACTTGTCACATGTACTATCTGAACAAGCCACAAAGCCCTTTTATGTGGAATAATAAGTTCCTGAGAGGTTCTTGGCATATCTCAAGGGTCTGCTCTGCACATTTCACCCTGCTGAAGCATTAGCAGAATTCAGACTCAATTAAAGAGCATTATCCAAGCAGGAGGTGCTGAGCTGTCAGACATTGGTCATCACTTCACCTGCTTCACCAGATGAGAAATCTAAGTAGCCCTCCATGAAAAGAAATGATATAAAGATTAGAACTAAAGACTGAAGCAAAAATCAGAAAAATGTTGCATTTTTTGATGAAATGACATCTAATCACATACAAACTAATAACATATTTTATTGTCATCATCACATGTCATAAAAGTTTTGAGATCTTAAAGTTATTTAAACAGAACTTCAGATTAACAATTAATAATATTTTTGCACCATTTGATTATTTTTGTAACTGAAACAAATCATAGAAGAAATATTTAGTGTTTCAGTGTGTGGAAAAATACTTTATATCTCCACAGCTTGTAGCAATACTATAACTTACTGAGATGTTAGCACTGGTATGCTGGGTTTGTTTAACACCAAACATGTCACTGTGGATCACGGTCAAGCATCTCTACTTTGGTTTTATCTACCCAAAGTACCTTGTTTTAGCAGTCTTGTGGTTTGTTCTGATGGAGTTCTGCAAATCTAAGTGGTCATTTAACATTTAAACTGATGTCAGCACAGTTTGACATATGTTTTTTTAATTCCTTAGCATTAGGTCATGGTCTGACCTTGGAGTGAACTTAATGTCTTGAATGGTTCTGAGCAAAGGCTGTTTCATAGTACAGGTTGATTCAAAAGTCACAAGACAGACTTTATTTTGATAGAATATTGCGGCCATGTTCTGGACAAGGCCATTATTCAGACGTGTAATTTTCCCTTTTCTTTCTGAAATAAAAGAGTGTACTGTGACTTTTGGGCAGAAGTTCAGACTTTACATTTTTATGTATTTATATTTTGTCGTGGTGCTGTTTATAAGTGCTCGAGTACCTGTGGGCAGCCAGTTTGTTCGAAACCTCCCAGGATATCGGTTTGTCTCCTTCACCTTTTTCCAGGAACTGTTTGCAAGTTCTGCCTTTCCCAAGATCATTAAACAGGTTAGACCAATGGTTCACAAACTTTTTTGATTTGTGTACCCCTGACCCATTTTATCATACCACCAGTACCTCTTCAGTCAAACGTAATGATGATTCTCCAAAGCTTTAATGTACTACAACTGACTATTAAATGAAAATTACTTATTTAACCCCCTAGAATGTTTAATCCTCAGACGTTTTATTTTTTTCAATTCAAATTAAACAAAGGTAAAAATGTTGCCTTGAAAGTGAACAAGTAATAAAATAAATAAAACAGGTAATGGTAGGTGCAGAAAGCAGCAGCATCCAAAATACGTCAGAAAATCACCCAAATGAGCAAATTCCATGAGATTCCACGTTTTATTCTGGATTACATTTTGCGTTAATTCCATGATTCTGACTGCAATTTTTGCATTGCAGAAATCATAGGACCCTACAAATCTCAGTCCTGTTTTTTATTTATTTTTTACACACCTGGGAAATTTTTCCACGTAGCCCCTGTAATATGCTGGCATACTCCTGGTTGAGAATCACTGCTTTAGACAGTGTGAAAGGCTGAAGGAACTGTCCAAGGTCCTGAAAGTACTGGACTGTTTCAGGACCTTGAACTGTGTGAAGGACCGAAGGAACTGTCCAAGGTCCTGAAAGTGCTGGACTGTTTTAGGACTTTAGAACATGGTTTTATCACTGCTTTTGCCATGTTGTTGTACCGCGCTGTGCAGTTGGATTCCAAAACAAAAGCATTTCTCTCCAGGAGGAAGTCTGCACTGGTAAAGTTCCTCTGTCAATCCACGGGCAACAATCTGCTCACGTCACAACCGTAAGTGTGTTGTACTTGTTGTACTGCTGCTGTACACAAACAGCAGCAGAAGAAGAAGAACCATTGCAAGTATCAGATTGGAGTACTGATCATTACTCACTGCATGGCAACTGTACTACAGCAGCTGTTGTGATGTACCATGCTAACAGCAGTATGAAAGTATTTAGTAGCTATATGCAACATTTATTATGTGGAAATTTCTCAAAGCGGTACATCTAATACCACCAATCTCATTAAAACATTTAAAATCCAAACATTTGGCTGCAGAGCCCAGAGTACTGTTTGGCTGAGAACTCTGAGTTCACTGGGGATGGGGGTGTATGAAAATATAAATTTATTGTTTGTGTATTAAAATAAAAAAATAAAACAAATCAACAAAACAAGTCCATTGGAATTATTAATTTGAAATGTTACCCACTAGAGGTCAATGTGTCCCCATTCTTACCTCTTTATCCATGCTTTCTAGATCTTCCCTGCAAAGTGTGTACAGGGGCATGGTTTCGGACATGCTCAGCTGGCGTTTTCGTCGGGAAGGTCCTGGCTGCTCGTCAGCTCGGCTGGATCCTGCCACCTCGTTTTGTTGACTTTGTGCAGTTCCTCTGAGGCACAACAACAGACAAAAACAATGGAGGTGGAAAAAGAAGAAACGCTATAAAAAGCAAACTGTTTTGGTCCAGGTAAACATTTGGCCTGGTCAGACTATTGACGGATATTGTGGTTATTATATTTAAAAGCACACTTATAAAAGCAGAAATCATTTGGGCTTTTCTGAGCAGTTTTTCTACACTAATTCTTTTACATAAATAAAACATAACTGCCAGGATATCAAATTTGCCATTATAATAGGGATACACGATATATCGTTTGAGCATCGTCATTGCAATGTACGTGTGTGCAATAGTCACATTGCAAGTTGGGGTGCAACGATACAGAAAATTCACAATTCGGTTCCATACTTTAGTCTCACGGTTCGATTTTTTTCGACACAAAAAAAAAATTACCCATGCCCTTCTTAACTTGTAAATTATTAAAATTAAATAGGAAAATTGGTTTTACCTCAAAAGTACAGATTTTAAATTAAATGTAGCTGAAACTGCAAGTTTCTCTGTGCTCGACAATGCAGTTTGGGTGGAGGAGTCGAACACAGATCCACTGATCCTTCAACACAGAGCATCTTCAGAAGACATGTTGATAAAATAAATTTTAAAAATCTGTATTGTTCACAACATAGTGTATTGAACCTAAAGCACTGTATTGAACAGTTAGATGCAGACAAATGTATTGTTGCACCATTAATAGCATGTCATGTGATGTAGGAGGTAGATTAAATCAACGTTGTGTGTTACAGGTTTTATTTTGACAGGCTTTTCACTGACAGAAGAAGCTGCCAGTGGCTGCGTGCGATTTGTGTAAAACCAAACAAAACATCAACTGTCTTTGAATTTGTCATAAAACTTCTGGGACAATAATGGCAGCATTTTTCGGAGAACTGTTGTCGTTGAATTCTCGAGCTGTGGAGGAATATGATGAGGATCTTCAATAACTCAGACAAAAACATTTGATCAGTGCAGTTCATCATCATCAAGAAGGAAAACTCAACGTGTTTAAGTCAATTATTAAAAGATTCCTGTATTTTTTCTTACTGCAATGTACGTCGTAGGGTTAAAAAAAATTACAATGTCCGGTGTTTCCATTACCGTGCAGCCCTACTTTAAAAGCAAGGCTGAATAGGTGCTCTCAGCATCTTATATCTTTTGTTTTCAGACCTGCTTCAGTTTGTTATTTTTGTGCCACAGTGATCTTTATAGAACTGCCAGTGAGCAGAACTAAGCTGCAACCAGAACATAATGGACCTATAGACTCCACAGCAACTTAACACTGAGCTGGCTGGAGACCGATGATGGGAAAGAAACCAGCTTAAAAGCTCAGTAGATTATGCAAATGAGGGAATATTACTTTACTTTTTTCACGTCATGCTTACGCAACTCTAAAATAGAGCTAAACTGTGCCTCTAACATGATGAAAATGGGCCAATTTTCCACTAGAGATTATTAATTACAGAGTATCTTCACAAACAGATTTATTTGGAGGTTTAACATGATGGTGTTTTAGTTTAAAGACAATCTAAGGATGGAAAAAAGGCCCTTAGGACAAATCTGCAGAGTTAAGAACATTATCTAAAGAACTTCAACTAACAGCTGCTCTCATTTCATGTGCCAGTCATCATTTCACTACTCTTAAGGCTAGCTCTGCTTTACTTCATGTTTTACAAACAGTCTGAAGGACAGGAAGTCACATACTGACAGATGACTCACTGATTGAACTGATTTAGTGATGCCTAGGCCTGTCACGATAACAAATTTTGCTGGGCGATTAATTGTCTCAAAATTTATTGCGATAA